CTCGATGGAATTGTGTACGTCGGTGGGGAATAATGGAAACCGGTATTCGGCTGATCAGCTGTGTTAGAAGACACAGCATAGATGTGTACATCAGGGTAGATACAACTGGCGGGCAGTAAAATCTCAAAATGACTCCAATGGAGACTGACTAAACGTAGACACTGTTTTTTCTCATCTGGTATTCCGTGCTGTCGAAACCAGGAGCGACCAACTAGCAAAAGCGTCCTCGTGGCCAAGGGCCGATCGTGTCATTAACATCAACAGCACCTCCGAGTTCAGAGGAAAAGCAAACCAGCGAGTTCGAACAAAGGCCATATATTTCAACGAGATTCAGTCCGCCATGGTTAAATCGCGCTGTTAGTCAGCATTCTTGCTTGCTCGGTCGAGCGGTCGCTCGGTCCGTCCGTCGGTCGGCTGTGCAGTCGTCGGATGAAGTCCACCAGGGCCTCACAGGAAACTCCTTGCTGGCTCCCTCTCGATGGCCTGCTATCCGAACCCAAACGGTTCAAAACAGGGGTCAACAACTTTCGCTCTCGAACGACCCCCTCGGACTGTTCTGAACAGGCGGTTGCAGGTTTCTTGCATCGGTGCAGCTCCACCGAAATCCGTCAGACCGGTCCGCTGATCGATCGACCTCAGGCATTGACCGATCATGTTTTGTGGATTGCAAACGAAGATCACGATTTCTCTACGGACTGTAAGACCGTACCTGCACCTAATGATTGGATTATCAACACGGAAAGTGAGAGTAAATCTTCTACAGCACAACCGCCGCAGAATAGTTAGCAACTGTCACGGAGACTTCAGGTCGATCCGAGCTCCGGATGGGAGAGGAGGGAAAAAGAGCTGAGGAGCTGCCGGAATTCAAAGAATAGCTTCGGAAGTAATTTATGATCGAGCGAATTTTCCGTTCCCTCCTCAATCACACGAGAACCATTCATTGGTCATTACTAAGAGTGTCCGCAGAACCGGAGTCGATCAGACCGCTTAATGTGATTCCAACGGGCTAAGCAGAATACTGGAATCGTATTTGGCACTGTTGGAGCGAACTCCAGGCTATGGATCCGCATATCTCGTTTGGAACGAATACAGAACTGAGCTCCGGTAGAATCAAAATAAGATCGCTCGGGGGCTGCAATGAAAATGATTTCCTCGTTCTCTCCGAACAAAAACTCTCCCTTAATTCGTGCCCTATTCATTATTCTGTTCGGAAACGATGATCCCAGGGAGGAAAGTAAGCAGCCGAAGGGGGATTTCAGTTCTCCGCTCCACGACCATCCTGCTTCATGTGAACCATTTCTGCCACAGTCAGTCGGGCCCGACTGTGAGCGACGTTGACGATGACTAGTGGCTATATGTATGTTGTAGAGTGGGTGGTGTAGATTCTGGTTGTTTCAGATTCTGCTGTTACCGCTGCTGGCGGATTTCTTCCTTGGGGGCGGACCGCCCTGTAGTCGGACGTGCCGCTGCATGAATAGCTCTGATTGATCTTTTCAAATGGCTATCAATGGTAACGCCAACGAAGATTCGTTCCCACAGGAATCAATGTGCAGGAATTTCATCGATTTCACGACTACGTAAGCGAACATGCAGTCGTGAACGTTATCCGAACTCTCAGGGAAGAGACAGCAGCCGATGTGCAGTCCAATGACGAGGGAGTCAACGCTCGGAAAAAAGAGACGACGCTAGTAACCATGAGCCAGTTGACGAATCCCATGATCGACTGCCTCACTTCTCGGGTGGTCAGCTCGCCCGCCACTTAAAACGCTGACCGAATAGCGTTCGATGGAAGACAACAATGTGCTTCCTTTCCGAAGACAAAACGGGACGAAGCCTTCTCAGATATTCATTGTTCGACGTGGGCTTCCGACAAGCGGGGACTGAGAAGCTGAGTGCTTGCGGCAACAGCCGGTCAATAGACCAGCTCAAATCGGCGATGTTCGCCTATCCACTCGGTGGTGGTGCTGAAGGCTTCGGTAACTGATTGTGAGTAGCAGAACCTCCATTGCCGCCACCGCAACCGCTTAGATCACAATGAGAGCGTGTTGGAAGCGAAGTTGACGGCCGGCAGAACACCGAAATCGTTGGCTGGTCTGTTCGCTCGTCAATCCTTTATACCCACGCGTGCTTGACTTCTCGAGGTGTTTTCGATCTAGGTTCTGCTCGATGTTGAAGTTTCTCGACACTTAGCTCAGAGTCGCTCCGCTGATATGTGTCTCGTCTTCCCTCAAATCTTGTGTTAGATCTTCATCATGTTGCTCAATTCAGACGCCGATGACGGTGTCGTAGCTGTAGCTGCGGGAGAACTCCGTTCCGGAGAAATGCCCGGAGGCCGAATTTCTGCGCCATGGTTCATCCCGGCTGTCGGCTGAATCCCAGTTCACGGGAAAAGACGCTTCCGATTCTTGTCCCAGATGCACAACGAACGTACTCGAAGACGTGTGAGATATGGTGCCGTACGATTGAGTTTGCTGGGCTCTTAGAAACTTCTCAGATTTGAGACAGAAAATATTTCGTGCATGGATAAACGAACCAAGAGATTCAGAATAGCTGGTCATCTACGTCCATCCGCAAAAAAATCAGCTATGAGCATTCGGAAACCCTTTTCCGAGTTATACATTCCCCTTTGCTCTCGATCTGTATCAGAGCTTGGTCCCGGCAGAGTTTCGTCGCACTCAAGGTTCTCACCGATGAGTCGTGTCGCAAACTTAGAATTCGTCTCCGCAAACGAATTGCGGGTCGGAGGCATATAAATGACTCCGACCTTCGATAATGATGATATCGATAAGCGGCGACATGGGTCTTATGGTTCGATGAGTTTCGTATCCAGTCGTTTCTGATTTTCTGATCCCGGTCGTTATTGGGTGCGCTATAATTTCTGAGCTATACCTTAGGACTTGACGACTCGAGTGTCGGTGAGTCGGTGTTTGAAATTTACCACAAATACCAAGACATACAAGACATCCTGCGGGATTGCTCATTACGCCTATAAGGGGATCTTATGGCGCTTCCGAAAGTTCTCCACACAGTACGATGTAATTGTTCGGGTCGGTTGCTAAGGTTTGTTGCTTTCATATGAGAGACGTGCGGAGTAACATTGTCAGTTTCGGAGGTGATTGAAGAGATGACAAACTTGCGGTGAATTTCATTATCTGCTTTTCGTCCGTTGGTTCAGTTCCAACGGCCTACGGGATCGATGCTTCTGGGTTACGTGAGCATTCATGGACTACGACTGTTGGTCGGTTTTATTGTGGCTACGGATTCTCTCGACCGGCTTCTAAGGTGTCGGGCTGCATCGTTGGATCGACGTTGACATCCAATCAGCGGGAGGAGGGTACCAGCGTTCTTCATCACCTTCGGATTTCTGTTCCCGCTCAGTTGATTCAAGTTTTTAATTCATCTGAGTCACTTGGGTCTAGGTCGAATCGCGCTCCATGCTCGACGAGACTGGAGCCGAAGTAGATCTTGTATCTTGTCTGACCGCTCTTTCGGAACAAGGACCGGTCGAACAGGTACGCGACGATATGATTGTCATTCCCCCGATGTGAAAGCATCGTTTGCGCGACGGTGGTCGTCGCCATAGCCGCCGCCGTCGTCGTCGTCCTCTCTCGAGCCGGAGAACTCCCACTCACATCCGTGTTTGACTTGTTCGACAATAGATGAGATTTCAGTCAATTCAATCATTTAGCGTCATCGGCGAACGCGTCGTTGAACTCTCTCCAAATGATAGCGGGAGCGACAGCGGCCGGCGTTCACAAGGAGGAAGGTAAGCGAGAGGCTGTCATGGAATTGGTCTTCCTTCACCGATCTTCTCGACATTCTCTGGATGATAAGGTTGTCGAAGAGCCCCAAAGATCACTTCAATGTCGACGTCTTCTTCGTCGTCTTCATCGGAGGTCCCTCCCGGTCGGACGACCCTAAGCAAGATGTCGATGTGATCCTGCCGGATCTTGAGAAGTTAATCCCACACTTTTCAGAACCTGGGCCCGCATGGGTTCTGGGCTCCGGAAAGATTCCTTCCAGGGGGACTTCCTATTAGAATTCGATTGCCTTAGTTTCGGCAGGGTGTCAAGCCGATGCACTGGGGAACATGGAGCCTGAAGCTCAGATTCGGGCCATCTCATTCTCTTGGTTTGTGTTTTTCTTCTCTGCTTCTTTATTTCTGCTCGCGTCCTCAGTATTACTTAAATGACGATTTATAACGAGGTGCACAGCGAGCATGGGCTCCTCCTCACATCGGAATGTGGACGTTCACAAGCCTCACTCTTCGCTATTACAGCGACGATGGTCGCCGCCGCCGCATCCCTAAAGCAGCGGCCGGTGCAGCAAACCGCTGAGGCATCGACGCTAGATTTTGGGAAATTCAATCGACACGGACGCGCATTCACAAACGCTTCCGCGAGATGATTTCGTTCGATACGATCTCAGTGGCCAACTCGTTTTAATTTGTCGGCGATTATCCTTGATTTGACAACGCTGTGAACGGTACCCTCTTCCAGGTCGAGTTGACTGATTGCTGGCCGTCGACGACCGGCGACGCCCGACGATCTCGTGCAGCCCGAGTTGTCTTCCGAGTTCGCGTCTTCCCACGCGTTGTATTGCTCTATCTGGACTACACGAGTTGACGACACACAATTCAAGAATCCAGTTCAGGGTTCCTGTCAAACATCTTGAACGAAGATGAGTCTCGAACTCTCGTCTGATTATTGCTTCTTGATTTTGTTTCTGCTTTTGGATCGAGTTTCTGTCCCCGCCGCGAAAATTTCTTGAATTAGAAATCCGAATCATGATCGAATCGAGACAGAGGAACAGTTGAAGATCGGAAATAATAACAGGTGATTTTGAGGGCCGCCGTTGAGACGGCTGACTTCGTCGAAAACCACGATGTCTGAACTGAATGAATCCAAGTGAGAAAGGAGGGGGCCGATTGTGAGCGGGGGAGGGGGTAAGGGTTTTCTCCAATCATTTTAATTGTTTGATCGGTTGGAAGTTGGCACGCTTTATGGCGCATACAGTGAAAGCGCTTGGACGATCTTGGGGTCGTGCTTCGAGCCTTCCTTAAATTCTTCTAGAGAGAGTTTGTTGTCTTGATTCTGAAAAGAAAAATACTTATCGTCAGGGAAAGCGATTCAGGACTGGGGTGTGTCGACGGTCCACCTTGCGATATCATATGAAGCACGAGCATCATATATATGTATATATATAAATGAATGATATTAGGACAATCATCCATTCTCGCCATGCGAAGAGCATCGATCGGGGCTCCGCAAACATAACACGAGGATTTCTCGTGGTACGTATGTACCTGGACGACTCATCGCCGAATTCGACTAGATGGGGAGCAAGATTCGCCCGCCGTTTGAAGACGCTGCGCCAATCTGGCGGCAGAAGGAGGATTCATGAGAGCTGCTAACTAATAGCAGAACATCGACTGGGCAAGCCATCAGGGCGTCTGGGCGGCTCATTTCTTGACTGGTTCGTTCTTCGGTCGCTTCGTTCGTTTGTCTGTCAGGCTAGCGGGCGGCAGGCGGGCGGCAGTTGTCAGGGGCCGTTGATCCTCGTCGTTGTTGTTCAAGCAGGGAAACGATATTGGAAGGAGCGAAGTGCATGGCCCCAAATAAGGCACAAGGCCGGTCGGCCGCTCGTCGTCGTCGTCTTTGCCTCCACCGCCGCAGCTCCAGTACTACTACCACCATCCGTACCGCCGCCTGACTCTTCGCAGGCATTACTCCTGACGCGCGTTTGCTTGCTCACTAAAGTTCTGGTTCCGCCTACATCGTCGTCATAATGCAGCAGACGGTGCTCTTGCCGCTGGTTCTGCTGCTGGCCGGTGCCCCAACAACGGAAGAACGAACGGCAAGCAGGCAGGCAAGCAAGCAATGCGTTCGACAGCACCGTCGTTGATGCTGTGGCCGCCGTCATAGACTCGTAGACGAAAACGACCATCAATTATCAAACACCAACAACGCCAACACCACAAAGTTGCCGAAACTAGCACTGTCTTAAGAAGGACGCGGAGCCCATGCAGCGTATTGAACGACATTCGGTCATGAATCTCATCGCCCGATATCAACGGGCTGCTCTTTGCTCGGTCACATCTTCAGCATGAACTGCTTCAACTGACCGATAGAGGGACATCACGCCTTCAGCCCTCTTTCGGGTTGAGGAGACTCGTATCCTACTTGCCAAAGCTGAACCTCAGTACGAGGTCTCTGATTTCGAGCTGGAGGTCGGACTCCGAGCTCAGTCCCCTCTTGCCCGTGCCGGCTTTTTTTCACATGAAGGACACTATTCATTCTCCGGGTGAGGTTCCTGTAACCTCGGAGTTCCCGTAGCGACTGATGAGCAGAGGACTCGGGCAAATACGGAGTTTCGCTCTTCCTTCAACGGCGGAGCGAATCGTGCAGCATTCACATGAACGTGGATGGTCAGTAGAGGGAGGCAATGTGGTCAGACTGGAAACCAGAGCATTATTCAGTGACTTACTTTGTCCAATTGTTCAAATATTCTATCTACTCGTGCGCGTGGGTCGTCTTCGTCTTCGCCTTTCTCTTGACTGCCGAGCATCTCATAAATGGCGTCCACAATGTTGTACATCTCCTCTCGCGTTATGAAGCCGTCATTATCCACGTCGTACAGCCGAAATGCCCCTGCGAACGAAGAAAAACGTTTTTTGCTCTCCTCTCGATGCATTCTGGAGGACAGGATGCCAATCGTCCTTCTTCCCAGCTCTATCAACTAGCTTCTCTGCGGTAACTTCGATCGAGATTACGGTACGAATCAAAAACGAAGGATGAAGCTGCTTCCGGGGCTCCCGAGGGAGAGGTGAGGCTTCAAGTTCACTCTTGGTCGACTCTGGAGCTTCCGCCGCGAGAGGAAAAGCGGGGGATCCACGGAAATTTCGTTCCTTGCTCGACTCGATTCAACTAAGAGCTTTGTATCCCGCTCGAGCTCCTCGACGTCCGAGTAGACCTGGGTTGATCCATCCTCTATTTCACCCTCAAGAGTACTGTAGAGTCTGCTTCTCAATTGAGCCCATGAGTTTCCCCGCCTTCTTCGAGCGCCTCCGATTCCGCGTAGCTCCGATTTCCGTCGAAGCCGTCAGAGAAGAGGAAGGTCGCTGCCAGAAGCGAAGTTCTCGTGTCCGCTTCCCTCTTATTCTGTGCCGATATCAGATTCAGCGAGGCAATGGTGCAGTGCCTGTACCGACGCCAATCCGCGGGACGATATTAAGCAATTTCTGATTCTCCGCATAATCCGCCAAGCGTAAATGAGCGGGGGTTCCATGTCCGTACTTGGAGCCTCCGGACTTCGGGATGCGGCTCTAACAAGGGCTCCATTGCCCGTGAAATCAAGTTCATCCGATCTGGTGCACGGAGCAATGTTGGAAGAATTCGAAATAAGCGCCACGAATGAATTCCT